TTATTCGGACTATTATTGAGCTTTGTGAACTCGGAGAAGATGGTTGGAAGAACTGAACCCTTTATTTTCACTGGGGTAGATTGTTCTAGTTCCACGTACCATGTTTAATGCTATCAGTTATCTCCTGTTAATTGCCCTCTCCAAATTCTCCACTGCCTTAACTGGGTATTGAACTCACCTTCTTTGGGTCTGTTGGATCTAACTAAGCCTTTATCCACTGTGCCATGTTAAGTTATCGTGGGGCGGATCCGAACACAGCCACACTAATTCTTTTAAACAACGTCACAACTCGGAAAGTAATTATTTCAAACAACTAATCTTTGTTAATCTATTCGATAGACAGAACTTCTTTTTTTTTTTTTATATATATATATATATATATATATATATATATATATAAAAAATATAATTATAAAATAAACATCAAACAATCCAGTTTGACAGAAATTGGTTTGAGGGAATTAGAGAATAATCATATTAACCAAGGCAGGTCATCGAGCTAAGGCGCAGAATAAACACCAACAGAATGCAAAACACAGGACCAGAGAAAGTATTGTTTTTGTTTTGTAGACGTGTCAGTCTCTTGTAATTTATTTTACAACTGAAAGTCAGACTTTCAACGTTGTGTTAAAAGCGTTTGCTTTTCACCTTTAACCAATAAACAACGATGTGTTTTACGTCTGAAACAGAATTGTGTTCATCAGCTGTGAACTGGAGAAGATGTACGCATAGTGATGCCCACTTTTAAACATACCAATATATATATATATATATATATATATATATATATATGAAGAAATTTTGGGGATTAGAGTAATCATATATAGTAATTCATCGAGCACAGAATAATCTTCAACAGAATTAGCACAGGACGGCCGTTTCGTTCTACTTGGGGCTCATCAGTACATCCCTCCAAAATTTGTTGAAGATTATTCTAGACTCGATGAATTATTATATATGATTACTCTAATCCTCCAAAATTTCTTCACTTGTATATCCTTGCTTGACCTAGCTTATGCTCGTGGGGAGCAGCTAAGTGACTAAAAAGAAGACATGGCTCTTGGGAGCACTATCCGAGGTTATCCCTATACTTTGATGAGTATTACTGCGGAACTGAGTGAGTAGGGGCGCTATATCGAGACTAGTTTGTGTCTTCATCGTCAGCGAGGCCCGTGGAATGACGTTTACGTTGTATCGAAATGGTCCGGGTTCGATTTTCGGTAATGAATGCGCATTGCTGATGAGTCTCAAATAGGACAAAAACAAGCTTTCTGCATTCTGTTCAAGATTATTCTGGGCTCGATGAATTGCTATATGAGGTATATATATATATATATATATACCAGTGCTTTCTGCATTTGATAGAGAGAACTTGTTGATATGTCTTATTCTTTTTACATACAACGTGTGAAAGCACTTGCCCACTTCAGTCGCCAACCAAGGGGTTCGATGAATTACTATATGTGTGTGCGTGTGTGTATGTGTGTGTGTGCGTGCGTGTGTATATGTGTGTGTGTGTGTGTGTGTGTGTGTGTGTGTGTGTGTGTGTGTGTGTGTGTGTGTGTATGTGTGCGTGTGTGTGCGTGTGTGTATGTGTGTGTGTGTGTGTGTGTGTGTGCGTGTGTGTATGTGTGTGTGTGTGTGTGCGTGTGTGTGTGTGTGTGTGTGTGTGCGTGTGTGTATGTGTGTGTGTGTGTGTGCGTGTGTGTATGCGTGTGTATGTGTGCGTGTGTGTATGCGTGTGTATGTGTGCGTGTATGTATGCGTGTGTATGTGTGCGTGTGTGTATGTATGTGTGTGTACGCGCGTTCTCTATTTGTAAGCATAATGATTTTTTCAGCGGTTACCTTGCCCACTTCAGTCGCCAACCAATTGGTTCGATGAATTACTATATGTGTGTCTGTGTGCATGTGTGCGTGTGTGTATGTGTGTGTGTGTGTGCGTGTATGTGTGCGTGTGTGTATGTGTGCGTGTGTGTGTTTCATGATTTGGGAGGAAGAGGAGAAGGTAACGACTTCTCGGTTTCTCAATTTTTTTTTTTTTTTTTTTTTAAATTTGGCAACTTATTTAAAACTTTATAAATGCCCCCAATTGCATATAAAGATTTTACCATCTGGATATTTAATATCCAAGGCCTTGTGAAAAAAGAAAAAAAAGGAATCATATGACTTCGTACTTTGATAGTTATAGGGCGTGATATTAATATCGGAGTTAGCTGAAGGTAATCGGTTTGGGAAGAGAGAGTAAATATCATGGAAATGGTTTTGTCATCAATACCAAAGTGAAAGAATAACATCCATAGACACTGGGCGGACAACCATTGTGAAGACATTAAGCAGCATTGAAAGAACTACTAATGAAGTCTGATTATTCGCTTGAAGACGTCAAAGAGTTTGAAAAAAAAACTGGCTTTTAGCGAATTACCAAAAAAATCAACAATACATTCTTATATTAAAATGGACAACAATGCATTTTCATAGTAAAATGACCAACAATACATTTTTATACTAAAAACCAACAACTGCATTTTTATAGTAAAATAACCAACAAAATATTTTTAAAATGAAATGACAAATAATGAATATTTATACTAAAATCAACAACTGCAATTTTATTGTAAAATGACCAACAATGAATTTTATACTAAAATCAATAACTGCATTTTTATAGTAAAATGATCAACAATAAATTTTTATACTAAAATGAATAACATTACATTTTACTAGTAAAATGACCACCAATATATTTTTATATTATAATGATTAACAATTCATTTTTATACTAAAATCAACAACTGCATTTTTATAGCACCATTACCAACAATATATTTTTATACTAAAATCAAGAACTGAATTTTTATAGTAAAATGACCAACAATATATTTTTCTACTAAAATGACCAACAATTCCTTTTTATAATAAAATGACCAACAATGAATTTTTATACTAAAATCAACACAGGCATTTGTATAGTAATATCAGCAATAATACATTTTTATACTAAAAACGAACAACAATACATTTTTATAATAAAATCACCAACAATAAAATTTCATGGTAAAATCAATAATACATTTTTATTATAAAACGACCAACAATTCATTTTTATACTAAAATCAACAACTACATTTTTACTGTAAAATGACCAACAATATATTTTTATTCTAAAATGACCAATAATATATTTTTATAATAAAATGACCAACAATTTATTTTTATACTAAAATCAACAACTGCATTTTTATAGTAAAACGACCAACGATATATTTTTCTACTAAAATGACCAACAATACTTTTTTATAACAAAATGAGCGACAATCAATTTTTATACTAAAATAAACGAAGGTATTTTTATAGTAAAATGACCAACAATTCATTCTTATACTAAAATGACCAACAATACATTTTATAATTTTATACTAAATAAAACTGCATTCTTATAGTAAAATAAATCAATACATTTATATAAAATATAATTAAATAATGCATTTTATAATAAAATGACCAACAATTCATTTTATATAAAAAACAATAATACTAAAATAATAATTTTTTTTAATAAAAAAACAACTGCCAACAAAATGATCATCAATTCATTTTATCCTAAAACAACAACTGCATATTTATAGTACAATGACCAACAATATATTTTTATAATAAAATGACCAACAAATTAATTTTTATAATAAAATGACCAACAATTCATTGTTATACTAAAATCAACAACTGCATTTTTATAGTAAAATGACCAACAATTCATTTTTATACTAAAATGAACAACTGCATTTTTATAGCAAAATGATCAACAATTCATTTTTATACTAAAATCAACAACTGCATATTTATAGTAAAATGCCCAACAATACATTTTTATACTAAAATGACCAACAATTTATTTTTATACGAAATTCAACAGCTGCTTTTTTATAGTAAAATGGACAACAATATATTTTTATATTGAAATGACCAATAATATATTTTTATAATATAATGACCAACAATGAATTTTTATCCTAAAATCAACAACTGCATTTTTATAGTAAAATTACCAACAATATATTTTTATAATAAAATATAATAATTTTTATATTAACTTTGACCAACAATTCATTTTGTATGCTAAAATCAACAACTGCATTTTTATAGTAAAATGACGACCAATATATTTTTATACTAAAATGACCAATAATACGTACATTGATAGTTATAAGACGTGATATTAATATCGGAGTTAGACAGCACAAACATCTCTTAATACTTGACGAATTAACCGATGTTCCTCATTTAATCTTTAAGGTTGCAACTTTATTTTCCTTTTACAATAGCTTCGCACCCACACTCTACATTTTGTATTTACAGTCCAATAATATATTAAGTTTATATTAACTTTGAGCTTTGAATCTGCGCCTAATATAGCGTTCTTATGAAACAAAGTTATTAATCGCAATAGTTCGTGCCTGATGAGTTGGTAGAAGCACGAAACTTTAAGTTGCACTTCGAATGTAGGTATATGCATAGTTTTAATATATACTTCTTAGCTCTGTCTAAATTCATTGAGCACAGTACACCTTATTTAGGACAAATTTTTATATCCTATATACGTATATATATATATATCTATTTATTTGGTTTATATATTTATATATATATATATATATATATATATATATATATATATATATATATATATATATATATATATATATATAACGAACACACAAAATTGCGGTTGACAGAAATAACCCCTAAAAACATAGTCTTGCCAGTATTCAGTCGATTGAAAATTTAAAAAATATTTCCTTATTCTTTTTTCTTAATAGGTTGATGGCGGAAAATGTTCACTAAATGCGCCAACCGTATCGTCTACTCCCGGGGTTTTTTCTCTTTTCTTCATTCGAATTATCGTTTGCTTTTTTTGTGGAGAAAAACAGAATCAGGGAAGAGATTTACCTGTAAATTTGTTTCAAACGGTAACGGATGAGGAAATAAAATATTTACGTTTTAAACAAAGCAAGGTTTTCTTTTAAATGCTCTAAAGATTTCGAGAGAAAAAGGTGGGAAAAGAAAGACAAACGAAAAAATGTTGGAAAAACAAAGAATAATGAAAAAACATGTTGAAAAAAAGGAAGAAGAACGAAAAAATGTTGTACAAGTAAAGAAAAACGAATAGAAAATGATTGGAAAGAATGAAAAACAAAAAATGATGGAAAAAAGAAAGAGAGCGAAAAAAATGGTTAAAATGAAAGACAAAAAAATGATGGTTTTAGAAAGAAAAACGAAAAATATTGGAAAAAGAAAGAAAAAGAAAAAATGTGAAAAAAGGAAAAAAATGGTGGAAATAAAAACAAAAATAAATAGTGCAAAAGGAAAGAAAAACGAAAAACATGGCGGAAAAAGAGAGCAAAACGAAAAAAATATGCTTGAAAAAGAAAGAAAAACAAAAAATGGTGGGAAATGAAGGAAGAATGAAAAAATGGTGCATAAAAAAGAGAAATGATAATCATGTGGAAAAATAGAGAAAAACGAAAAAATGGTGGATAAAAATGGAATAAATGTTGGAAAAATATGGAAAAATGGTGGAAAAAAAGAGAAACGAAAAAATTGTTGCAAAAAGAAAGAAAAACAAAAAAAATGGTGGGCAAGGAAAGAAAAACGAAAAAATGTGGAAAAGAAAGAAAAATGACACAAAAAAATGAAAAACGAAAAACGATGTAGAAAAAGAAAGAAGCGAAAAAATATGGTGAAAAAGAAAAAAAGACGAAAGAAGGTAGACAAAGAAAGAAAAACGAAAAAAATGGTGCTAAAAAAGAAATACGAAAACAATGGCGGAAAAGACAGAAAGGCGAAAAAATATGGTGGAAAAAGAAAGAGAAGCGGAAATGGGGGTGAAAGAAAGAAAAATAGAAAAAATGGTTGAAAAAGAAAGAAAAACTAGAAAAGTTCAGAAAGTAAAGAAAAGCAAAAAGCGAAAAGAAGGAAAAACGAAAAAATTTTGGGAAATAAAGAAAAACGAAAAAGAAATATTTCAAAAAGAAAGAAAAACGAAAACAATGGTGGAAAAAGTAAGAGAAACAAAAAAAATGATGAAAAAATTAGAAGAAATTTATGATTTCTACAGACAAAATTCACGTTTTGTGGAATTTAGACGAATTTTTAAAACAATCGATTAATGCAAATGCTTTTTAGACTGATGTCAAACTTATTCCATGCCATATGTCAGCTTTGATCGCCCGTAAAATAAGATTAACCAGTATTGATTTAGTTTCTCAGAGTAGACAGCCGTATTCGACATTCGCCATGTTTTAAAAATTCTACGTCGCGTGTGTCAAATTCAGTTTGTTTTCCCAGCATATCTTCACACTCGGCTGCACACGTCATTTAATAACACAAGGATAAGGCCATGATAAACGATGACTTCGTTACAAATGTCTAGTATTCGCCGGCGAGTGCAAAGTTCTTAGTATGTGTCGGATTACACCAATTGTCTGCTAAGGAACTTCTAACGACACCAAGATGTTGCCAAAAAAAAAAAACAAAAAACAAAAACAACCCCCCCACAAAAAAAACAAAACAAAAAAGTAGTACTCACCAAAAAATGAAGAACGAAAACTCTCTTCTTCTTCTTCTTCTTCTTCTTCTTCTTCTTCTTCTTCTCCTCCTCCTCCTCCTCCTCCTCCTCCTCAATGGTATACATTTAGGACAAGACGTATTTCATTTCCCGTCCGGCCAACGAACCCCATAAAACACAACACAGTTGATGAATCTTCCAAGCTAACGGGTAATCCACTTGTAACTTTAGTCCCAATATCTTTAATAAAACTTTATGCCCGTACGCACTTCTTGAGGCCAGTGTACTGAATATGAGGGGTGGAGCTATGCTGATGACATAGGTATTCATAGCTGGGATAAGAATGAGCTTGAAAAAACATTCGCACTTTTCCCTCCAGGTATGGGTTGAATAGCAAAACAGGCTGGGTTCTAACGACTTGGTTGGCAACGAGTCTACGGTAGCTTACGTTTAACTAACTAGATGCACCCGTATTTTCTATTCTAATAGTTTCTTTTCTCGCGTGTGGAACTGCTTTCAGATTTCTTGCTTCCCTGTCAATTACAATCTTCAAAATTTAAAAGCTATGCCAATCCCCCTCTTTTGTCTTCCTGAAATCTGTTCTTTTATTGTCCTTTCTCCTCACTAAAGTCTTCTCATTCTCTTTCACTCCCAGTAATCTGTTACGTCTTAGTGGAATTATCGCCATCTTCTGTCTTCCTGAAACCTGTTCTTTTATTCCCCTTTCTCTTCACTAAAGTCTTCTCATTCTCTTTCACTCCCAGTAATCCATTGTGTCTTAGTGGAATTATCGCCATCTTCTGTCTTCCTGAAACCTGTTATTTTATTGTCCCTTCGCCTCATTAAAGTCTTCTAATTCTCTTCCACTCTCAGTAACCCCTTGTGTACTGGTAACATTGTGGAATGAAATGAATAAAAAGAAAATTTCCTATGAGATCAGTTTTGGAATGAACGGCTGAATAAAGTCAGTCTTTCCAAAAACTGGTGCTTCTATTATATATCTCGAGATTCTTAACAAAATTCAAAGAAGGTCCTGTAATTAATCAGTCCTGACATCTCAACTTCAGTCACTTTCTCATCGATCTGACGTGTGGCTTCCCTTTTATCTTTTCTTTCATACAGATATGAACACAAAAAAAAATGGCTATTTTGAAAACCTCTCACGAGTCACACGGGGTAGCTTTGCAGGTCACATACGGCCCGGGTGACGTATTTTGTGCAAGTCTGCCGTGCTTGGATGAGAGGCATAATTGAGTTCAAATAAGAAATATTCTCAAGACTCCGAATAACTGTGTGATTGGTTAAAACACTTTCACTTTTGCTTAAGGGGAGATAACCTGTGCATCTAATCGGCTTAAACCTTTCTAAAGCTCGTTGATTTGAAAAGTTCAAGTGATAAAAATCAAGAACATTTTTTTCTGATTTAAAATCGGACAAATTTATCTAAAAAAAAGAGAAATATTTTTTGTTTAATCACAGATTTTTATTATGTTGTTGTCGGTCGTTAACGCAATCAATAGAAATTCTCTTCTTGAGGCAAAGTATCAACAAGACTCCTTACAACTCAATTATTATTATTATAAAAAAAAACTTGTTTGCATTTGTTTTATAATTCATTATTATGCGCGGTCATAATCAATGCCTTTATGTAAGCGAACGATGTGATTTTTTTGTTCATTTCACTTAATTAAAAAAAAAGACAGTTTTTAATAGAAACAAAAAATAAACAAGCTTAAATGGACAAAACTCTTGTAGCAATCTTAAGCTAAATTGAAAACAGCTGGACCTGTCGCAAAATGGATTCGGCACATTTACTTTCGACCGATGGTTATCTGTAAGTGAATACAATTTCAAAGTACAGAGCAAGAGGCTCAGACTGAGAGAAAGTCACGGATTAAGATGAATTACTTTTCGTAGACGAAGATGACTAGACAAAGAAAATTGTTATCTATAAAACTGACCATACCGCGAAAAGGCAGAGAGAGAGAGAGAGAGAGAGAGAGAGAGAGAGAGAGACAGAGACAGACAGACAGACAGACAGACAGACAGACGAAGCAGATCTTGGAGAACGGATACGAAAAACACCCTTTAGACTGTTCACACCCCATGCCTACGCCTCATCTCAACTTCGCTCGCTTATAGCAGTAGGTTACAATGCAAGAATAAAATCTGGTTTACTACTAGAAATTGTTTTGTTTTTCACACGTGGGTAATGATCTGGTTGAATGATAATTTTTAAGCCACAAGCGTTTGACTGAAAGAAGCTGAACATGTTAAATAATAGTTTAGTAGACTATTATTTATAAGGGGAATTGTATCTTTGCTCGGACTTCCTGAGGTCGACCTTTGGGATCAGATGGAAGACAAAATAAGGAAGTCGATTTTGATTGGCTAAGCCAGCGGGGGAATGAGAGATAGAGAAAGATTTTTTTCAGTTTATCGAGTCTTAACCGTCAAACAATGTAGACGTTTTTACTTTCGTGTCTGAAACGACTCCCCAGTGAGGGTGCGACCCCAATTGGATAGGTAGAAAATGTAAATGTGATTAATAAATAGATAAGTCAAAATTCCTTCTGTTGAAGTTCTTTTATCTCTGGACTCAAAACAAATCAGCGATCACCGGCCGGGAGAAGATGAGAAAGAGAGAGAAGATACAACATATGAGTCAATCGACGCCTTCACCATAACCACCCCACCAAGGGGCTATGCAACACACCCTGCCAGCGTACCTGGTGCCTAGTCTGAGCTACAACGCAACACTCTTCACAGGATATGTTCTGCGCTTATCAGAACTAATTGGGACATTTCTTGCTGTTATTTCTATTGTAAATAGACTCTCCCACAGATAAGTAGTAGTAGTAGTGGCAGTCGCCAGCGAAGCTCAGTGGAGTTGTGAGAGTCAGTCGATGTCGGACATTAAAGTATGAGCCCCACAACTAGATTGCTGCGTCATTAACTATTTATTTCAAGTTCCTAACGTTTTGTACGTCGAACTTAATTTAGGACCAACTCAGTAAAATACAAGCCTCCACTGTGAAAACTACTTTACAATACTTGGAGAGATGGTACACAAGAGACTTTGTTGATTTGTTCTTGAGTTCCTTTCTTTACCAGATCCAAAGCTCCAATTACAACACGAACAGTTTTATCTTTTAACTCCCACATTTTTTTCTTTTTGCATCTCCAGGTCATTGTATTTGCTTTGTTTTTCAAAAACTTTTGCATTGATGTCTTTTGTTACTTGGCATATCATATCAATCAGTGTGCAAACATCTTTTTATGTTAAGAAAATGGTTGACGAAATTATTGTTGATAAGTGACTGTTTTATGTCACTTTTAATTATTTATAAGTAGTGATTACATTAGCACAGTAAATCATATTTTTATAACTATAATTTAATATCCGTGAAGGCATTCACTTTTGTAGTTGAAAAGACACGAGTTTCTGTTTGTGCTTTTTTTATGTCGAGAAGTAGTAAAATCACGTTCGCATAATAGAAGTCCCGGGAGCCACTCAAAGTAGAGGGTTACTGTGTGGGGTTGTATGAATGTAATCAAAGACAAAAAGTTAACTTCAATCTATTAAGCAGGAAAGATAACGGTTACATCTAGATTTGAAGAAGTTAAAATTGTAGTGATTGGGAAAACATCCTATGGGGAGTTTGCACTTGCGAAGAAGCAGTCCGAATGAAACTTCCTCCTTACTAATGGAATACGAAGGGAATGAGGATGATTTACTCTTGTGTATGTGGCATGGCAGGTACCAGTTGAAAAGGGTCGTGGTTGGTAGAACCAACGAATATAACTCGAGAGAAAAGATGTCATGGAAATAGCGATAGAAAACATTCATAGTATGAAATTTACCGAGGAATATCTGTCTATATCTCTGAGATGAGGTATTATGATTACTTTCCTTATTTATATAATCCGGACTGTTATCTTCATCTTCATTGCCATATGCACAACGTTTCAGCCGTTGTACGCTCCGGCCTTCATCAGGTGATTGGAATTTTTCTTCAATATCTGTCTATATCTCTGAGATGGGGTATTATGATTACTTGCATTATTTACATTATTTGGACTGTTTTCCTCATCTTTATTTTCATATTCACAACGTTTTGGCCGTTGTATGCTCCAGCCTTCTTCAAGTGATTAGAATTTCGATCCGAACCCTTTATTTCGTTCACGGGGGTAGATTGCTCTAGTTCCACCTGCCATACCTCTTCCTGATGTCTCAATTATTTCCTTTTAACTCAACTCTCCAAGTTTATGGTTCACCACTGCTGTGGCCTGGTATTGAACTCACAACCCTTTGGGTCTAGTCACTGGATCTAACCAACGTCTTTATCCAGTGGGTCATATGTCATTGTGGAACTAGGACAATTTACCCCCGGTGGACGAAATAAATGGTTCGGTTCGAAATTCCAATCACCGGAAGAAGGCCGGAGTGTATAATGGCCGAAACGGTGTGGATATGGCAACGAAGATGAGGAAAACAGTCCGAATAATGTAAAATGGAAAGTTACCAAGAAGAGCAATTAACATTATATATAATGTTCGCATCTTTGTTGTCATTATCACAACGTTTTGGCTGCTGTACTCTCCGGCCTTCTATAGGTGTCTGTCGATCCGGGAAATCTTCAGGTAATTACGAACTGAACACGTTTTCTTCTGATTATTTCTCCACATGCAAGGCAACAAAGCAACAAGGGGTTACTGAGTCTGAAAGAACAAGAAAAAACAGAGAAGCTTTATGAAGGAGTGAGAACAATAGAAGAGCAATCAGGACAACCAATAACGACTGACATTACATTTAAATTTTTGAAGATGAAAGTTGGCGGGAAACCATGGAGTCGGAAAAGAGTTCCATAAGTGAGAAATGCGAGAAAAGAGACTGTTATCATAAAACTTACAGTTACATGTAGCTAATTCAGCTGTGAATTAATGAGACCTCTCCGCCAATCTAGTACTGCGCTTAAATTCGTAAAAACTATGTACCATTGCGAAGAGTTCATCTAAACAGTCACCATGAAAGTATTTACAGAAAAGACACAGGGAAACTACATTACACCGGTAGGGAAGTGATTGAAGCCGAGATGCCAGGTCAGAAACAATAATATTGCTGATTCGTCTTTTAATTTTATTAAGAATATTCCGAATATACTGCAGGAGCACCGGACCATATGAGGCAGCAATGGACGTATAGTAGACTTATAAATATGTAAGATAGATTCAGGACAGAAAAATTGTCTAGCATGATACAGTGAACGAACTTACTAAGCAGGAGACTTTGCAATGGATTCAATATAATTTTTCCACTTCATGTTAGCCCAAGATGGCGCAAGGAGTCGATCTCATGGAGGTTAGCATCAACCGTACTGATGGAAGAGGGCTTTCAGTTCACGGGGTTGATGGTTTTCATTCTCCTGTCAATGTCTACGTATATTTTGTGACTTTATTTCTTTTTAGTATTACCCAGTTATTCTTAGCCTTGTTTCCGTTAAGTCTATACTACTCAGTTCAGGAATTGAACTCACACATGCCAAGGTATCAAAATTACAAACAACCGGTTTAGTCGTGAGAAGAGAAGTATGCTATCGGGAGTCCGTTCCACAACGCAACAGTTCCGAGGAAGAATCTGTCTGAGTGGAACTCCTATGGAATATGAGTGGAATGAAGATGAATTTTCACCAGTGTATGTAGCAAGGTTGTCTTAGCTGTGAAGCTGGACTGGCACAGCTAAACGATGTAGTTTGCCTAAACATCTGTTTTGAAAATAGTGATTAGAGTAGATAGAGGATTGCAACGTTTCGTCTGTGGGCAAGTGGTTGTAGGGTGGAAAACTATTCATCACCCAAAATGCTTTCAAACTAGGTCGACGCGAGAAACTGAAGAATGGCCAGGGTTGTACATTTGTGGAAGGCCGTAGAATCGTTCGACTGAAACGTTGCAGGAGTACGAAAAAGAGAGAGAGAGAGAGAGAGAGAGAGAGAGAGAGAGAGACGGGAGTAGAGGTGTTCATATGATCTCTTTGTATTTTGCAATTGTAGAAATTGTAACTTAACCCGCAACTAATTGGCTCCCGAAGGAAAGAACAGCTTTCAGAAAAGCAGTGTTTTATTTTTTGGATTTTGATTTTGCAACCTTTCACCTGCGACATTCTTCCGAAGAGGATAATTACTAAAAACGATCGTGTCTGACTTCTGTACATTTCCATATATGGAAATTTTAGAAAATAACAAGACACCGAAACATTTTTATCATCACACTATCTCGCCCATCATTCTCTTGTTTCGCTCTCTCTTTTTCTTACACACTCACACATATTATCTCTCTCTCTCTCTCTCTCTCTCTCTCTGGTTTGTTTCAATGATATATAAGTAGCAACATCAGTAAGTCTGTAGCCTAATAATATTTGACCGTTTTTACTTTTCTAGTCTTCTCTATTTATTTCTATTTTCTGTTTTTTTCTTTGTCCTCACTTATCTTTCTACAGAGTATGGCAGAAATACCTCCCACATATACCTCCCAGAAATACCTCCCACATATACCTCCCAGAAATACCTTCCACATATACCTCTCAGAAAGGCCTTCCACATATACCTCCCAGAAATGCCTCCCATATATATTACCTCCCAGAAATATGTCCCATATATATTACCTATAGGAAATAATGGAAAAATTTATATATACCTCCCAGAAATATATCCCACATATATTGAGAAAGAAATACAAGATTACGTATACCTCCCAGAAATATTCCCACATATATTTCCCAAAAAATAGAATAAATATATATATTACCTCCCAGAAATATGTCCCATATATATTACCTCCCAGAAATACCTCCCACATATACTTCCCAGAAATATCTCCCACATATACCTCCCAGAAATATCTCCCAAATATATTAATTCCCAGAAATAAAAAAACATATTACCCCAGAAATGCCTTCCACATATACCCCCAGAAATAAATTCCACATATAGCTCCCAGAAATATATTCCCATAAACAAATTTCCCTAGTTTAAAACATACCTCCCAGAAAAAGAATTTTTTAAACATATACCTCCCAGAAATTCCTTTTGTCCATATACCTCCCATCTAATGCCTTTCCAAAACATATTTTTACCAGAAAAATGCCTCCCATATATATTACCACCCAGAAATACCTCCTATATTATGGTAAGATTTGCTAGATAAAGGCATCATTGTCACTAATGTTAGACCATTATCTGGAAGGTATTTTGGGGAATTATAAGTGGTAGGCATTTCTAGGAGGAAGTTATTTCTAGGAGGTATATATGAGAGGTATTTCTGGGAGGTATATGTTCTCTGTACTTTTCTCTTTTTTTCGTTGTCTTTCTTTTATTTTATATTTTTCTTTTTTATTTTCTGTTTTCTTTTTTCCTTTTCTTCTCTTATTTTTCTCTTTTCATTTTCTTTTCGTGCCCTCGTTTTCTCTATTCTCTTTTCTCTTTTTCTTTTCTCTTTTTCTTTTCTCTATTCTCTTTTCTCTTTTCTCTTTTTCTTTTCTCTTTTCTCTTTTCTCTTTTTCTTTTCTCTTTCTCTTTTTCTTTTCTTTTCTCTTTTCTTTTCTCTTTTTTTTTCTCTTTTCTCTCAAAAATTTTTTAAAATCCAATTTTTCTTTTTTTTTTCTCTTTTTAATTTTCTCTTTTCTCTATTCTCTTTTCTTTTCTCTTTTCTCTTTTCTCTATTCTCTTTTCTCTTTTTCTTTTCTCTTTTCTCTTTTCTCTTTTCTCTATTCTCTTTTCTCTTTTCTCTTTTCTCTTTTTCTTTTCTCACCTTACCTTTTCTTTCTGTTTTTCTATTTTTTCTTTCCTTGTCTTTTTCTTTCTTTATATTTTTTCTTTGTTTTCTTGCTTTCCTTTTGCTTTAGTTATTTTTCCGATTTTTTTAATTTATTGTTTTTCTGATATCTATATAATAAATGAGAATGTCAGTGTGTCCCACTTTTCAACTTTAATCTTAAAGGCCATAGCCCAACATATTATACCATTTTGGAATCAGGCCGACTTCGTAAGCAAATTACAAATATTCAAGGCCGGATCTGGACCCGCAATCCAGAAATTTTGAATTCCCAATATTTCATTACTGCGATTGTTTTCGTATTCCACCATCTTGGCATCTACTGATAAAAACAATTAAAGGGACACAACTCTCTAACTTTCAATAGCTCATGTTCAAATGAAAAAATACTGTTCTCAAATTACAGTAAAATAAAATTGTCCGTGTTTTCAACTTCACTCTTAAAAGCCGTAGCCCAACATACCATTTTGGAATCAGGCTGACTCCATAAGCAAATTACAAATATTCAAGGACGCAATCCTGAAATTTTGGATTCACAAGTTTTCATTACTGCGATTGTTTTCGGCGATTTTCACCCGAGTTTTTGCGACCATTTTTTTTTTTGTACGATCACCATATTTTTTAACGGTTTTTATAACTTGGAATTAAATTTGGGAATGATTTGAATTAATTCCGATATCCAGTGAATGTCACCCATTAAATAAACATAATTGTTTGTACGCAAAGTAAGGACCTACGTACATCAAATTGTCTTTAAATTAAGTGGCGGCAGAAGGATTATCGTTATACTTTTAAAAGGTAAGCTTAAATATTAATGCAATACTTAAATGCAGTGATCAATTTTAAGTTCTTCTGTAGTTTATTGTTGCCTATCACATCTAGTCCTCCTTACCTATTGTGATGAAGGTCCAACCAAGAGTATTCCGCAGAAACTAGCTCAAATGTCATCTTATGGGCGGCGTTTAAGCTTTTATATATATATATATATATATATATATATATATATATATATATATATATATATATCAAATTCTTTTAATTTTCCCTGGGAGAGTTTTTTTTTGGTTGGATCATTTCTTGTTTGTTTCTGAAGTTAACCTCTGTCCCATAATTTTTAGCCCATAAATCATATTATTCATTTACCAAATCTTAGAAATCAAATCCCAACATTTAAATCTTGTAAAATCTGTATTTAATAGAATCAGAAACAAAAACAACATGGACATAGATCAATAAGTCTGTAGCCTAATGGTGAGAAGAACATTTTATACAACAGTTATTTATTTTTCAACACAATCTCTATCCTTGTCAATGCACTTAATTCAGGGATTTTTCACTAATCACTTATGTAGTTTCAGCAAAAAGTCTAGAGCTTAATGATGAAAATAAAAAAAAAATATTTTACACAAAAAAATTTCTTTTTTGACTTAATCTGCTTCCTTGTTATGCACTTAATACAGTGTTTTTTTTTTTTCATTAATCACATAAGTCGGTACATCAATAAGTCTGTAGCCTAATGATGAACAGAGCATTTATTTTACACAACAACTATTTTTAAACATAATCTTCCTTGTCAATGCACTTAATCCCATGCTACTCTATTAATCACACATGTGAGTACATCAGTAAGCGTAACAACGAAAAAAGCATTTGTTTTAAACATAAAATATTTATTTTCAACATATTCTGCTTCTTTGTCAATGCACTTAATTCGGTGTTGAATATGTTCGAACATAAATACATCAATAAGGCATTAAGACTTATATTCTACGATGTCCTACAAAGATTTAATACAATCTTAAAATAATCGTAATAACATAAGATGTGAAGATAACACTGTGATAATGGCCGACAAAGAAAAAAATTTGCAAGAACTTCGATAAAAATAAGTAAAGGAAATCGAGAAGAAAGGACTATTAACTTTATGAAGGCAGTATATACACCCTTGCGCAAATTAATTATACAGCAAGATGTGAAGAGCCATGATCACTTACATTATTTCTATTTTTTCTCAAATTAGGTCATTTGCAGTGGTGTGGATTAATATGAATCTATTTTCGGGGAGTATTGTGAAATTTGTTTGGCCTTGAAAAATATTGCGTCATCCGTGATTGCATCAGATTTTTATCACGCCCAGATACTATTGTCTCGACTGTCGATTAGTTGTCCTACGGCCATTGTCTGCGATGGACGTTACGGCAAGGAAGCGTATGAAAATTATAACGGTGCACGAACACGCTGGCAAGCCTTATCAGTGAGCAACTCAAAGTACTATCGACTGTCCCGGAAACTCTCCTGATTTAAATCCAATCGAGAGGAACAACATCGTGGAATGGCCGTACAAAGTACTAACATGTGCACTAGGTCATGTTTCATTGGAAAAATATATAATAATGGACTTATTTGTTTTGTTTCAAGTAATTTGCACAAACGTGTAATAAAGCAACTGGTTAGTGTGGAGATAACCTTTTATACGCTTTCTGGTGAAGGCTGCCGAATTACGCCTGCATTTTCAAAGGTCAAAACATATCAGATGGATTGTCAAGACAATGAAAAATAAAGCCTGATTCCCAACAAGAAATTTAAATCTTGACTTCACCTCAGATCTTTGCCTTTGGAAAACAATATTCAGATGCAAAGATGTAACATTAGCTCCAATAATTGTCTCTCGAACGACGGCTCCGGAGGGACTCCACCATCTCTGAAAAAAAAAAAAGCTTGTGTAAAAATTGGGCATTAGCGGCTTTTGACAATCTTATATGCCGGGTTTCATCATCTAAGCGAAACCTCATCCATTATATTCAGCTTTGGCTCGTTGGCTTCGAGCTAGATTTCCGAATCCCTTGACGATAGGCATTTCATTTAACATCTTTCGAAATTACCAGATACTGTGCATTGACAAGAAAACGAATCAGTTGGGGATTATGATCAAATAAAGAAGAAATAATAAATGTTTATCAATCTGTTTCACTTTTATTAAAGCTTCATGAAATATAGAGAAAAAGAAGAAATTGTGTGATTGTGTCGTTTTGTTTCAATTCATTTGCAAAAGTTTGTATATTACTATCCTAGAGGTTATTTAAGGGGATGCACATTTTTAAGTAGACGCCCTGTTTATTTTTACTGGCCAGCGCGTTTGAGAGACTTTATAAAAATGTGATTCTCCTTCTTTGCATATTTTCTTTATAAGGTTTCTTAAATACATAGGTCAGTAAGTATAATTAAAATTGTAAAAAAAAAAGACAGGGTATATATACGGTATTCAAATTAGGTCTTGCCTGCTGACTGTTGAGAAGCACCATAACTTATCGAGGTCTCAGTCGATTGTGTTTGGGCGATCATGTCTCTTTCGATTAAGGAATTACTAAGCAGAAGATTTTCCAGCAGTAGGTTGCCATTTCTTTCTGCGGTAGACTAGTTGTCAATCAAGGCTATAGAACTCAGTCTGCCCTGCTATTCAACCCGTATATGGGGATGGGGGAAAGAGATATATTCATACCTTTCCAAATGGTATTTGTGCGTATGTGAATCTTACAAACTCAACTGGAATTCGAACTCGGCTCTCTGGTATGAGGTCTACGCTCAAATGAGACCTAACATAACGAATCAGGACAATATTATTCTTCAATGGCGAAATTTGTTGAAATAATTAGCAGTTTCGTCAGTTCAATTTTACCAATGCCAATTACTATGCACATTTCGGGAAAAATAAAAAAAAAATCTATTCTTGTCAGACAAACAAATCGATTGCGCTATCCACGCTCACAAAATATGGATTTTGTGGGGAGTTTAATTTGTTGGAAAATTTAATAGGTCAGCTGCTGAGAAAGTTGGTTCACTGAGTCGTGCTATGCAATTTTTCTCTTCGGAATCTATTTTGTATATCTATAAGTCTATACATTTTTGAAAAAATATTAGCAGTAATACTTTTTCGAAAAAAGATATTACCGGCAATAAAAATCTTGTCGGCATTAAATAACCCATTGAGGTTGATATACCGTAAAACAAACCAAACCAAACGAAACAATTAGTATAGAGATTATTAAGACAAAACAAAAATGGTGCATTCACATATGCACCAATGTCCCTCACAGCTGTTAAATAGCAGGGTAGACTTAGCTCTCTAGCCCAGGGTGACATCAACGGGCTTTTAAGTCTTGTATTAAAGAGAGGGTTTTGAGAATGAGTTTAATTAGGTATTAATTAAAAGTTAGCTCTCTATAATGCGATGCTAAATCTGACGTGAAAGTATTTCTCAGGGATTTATTATTAGATTCATATGTGTTTCAAAAGGAACGGGGTGTTAGATCTTATAATAAAAACGGTTCTGGAATTGATTGAAATTAGATACTAGACGACCCAGAAACCCGTTGTGTTCCTTTTAAAACCAGTTCATGATACAAAATGATGAGTTAACAGTATTATCAATTTTATTATTACACATTTTAATTTGTATTTGCAATACGACTTATTATGATAATTACTATTATTTACATTATAAAATCAAACACAAGAAAAAGTTGACTTTTTTTTTTAGAATGAAATTTCGAACTGTTACACAAAAAAAATTTACATCCAAGTAATATTAACCCCGAGGTGAAAATTTATACCGTTTTTCAAATTTGATGGTAAAAACCCCTCCCTAAAAATATATCGTCTGCTTAGGGAGATTCATATTTATTGAAAAACATAATATATGGATGACTCCTTTTTGTGCACTTAGTTCCATTTTCGCTCATAATTTTTCAAAATAATAATTACATTTGTACAAACTTGTTTCTTCCTCCCATTTATTTCAAAATGCGTATCGGCGACAAACCAGCGTCCATGTATTTATTTATGCACCATCAAGTCATTTAACGCAACTTTCCAGCCATAGAGATTACGTTTTATAATGACACATCCACATCTAATGTAGTGTCGGCAGTTGTATAAATATAGGTTTTGTTTATGTACATTTAAATTTATTTAATAATGTTGTTATAATGTATTATTAATGCTTATTATTTTTCACACGCATAATAGTTGGAATATAATATGCAAGTGTTTCTTTATATACGCAGAATTATATAAGAATGTACATCGGAAGCAAATACTGAATTTTCTATTAAAAATGCCATAAAAACAGAAAAAAAAGATCCTAGCTGAAGAACCCCTTGTCTAGGAGTTTAAGATACAATCAGTGGTGGGATTAAAAAAAAAATTTAAGAACGGGTTCTCTCAACAACAGGTCTCAATAGCAACAGGTTCCCTCGTTTTTCCAGAGTCTATACTTTTCTATATAGATATAATTTAGGAATAAAGAAAATTTTTCTTGAATTTATTAAAATATACGAAAATTAATCCACATTACATTGCACATTATTATTTTGAAAGGAAAACTAATTAAAAGAAATGCTTTAGTTTGGTTTGATTTGTTTTACAGCATATCAACCTTAATGGGTTATTTAATGCCGGCAAGATTTTTATTGCTGGTAATATTTTTTATCTATCTATCTATCTATCTATCTATCTATCTATCTCAGTATATATTGGTTTGATTTTTGTTTTACTACATATCAACAACAATGGGTTATTTAATGCCTGCAAAATTTTTATTGTTGGTAATATTTTTTATCTATCTATCTATCTATCTATCTATCTATCTATCTCAGTATATATTGGTTTGGTTTTATTTTGTTTTACGTCATATCCAACACAATGGGTTATTTAATGCCGACAAGATTTGCCGGTAATATTTTTTATCTATCTATCTATCTATCTATCTATCTATCTATCTATCTATCTATCTATCTATCTATCTATCTATCTATCTATCTATCTTTCCGAGTTTGTTCATATCTATCTATCTATCTATCTATCTATCTATCTATCTATCTCAGTATATATTGGTTTGGTTTGGTCTGTTTTACGGCATATCAACCACAATGGGTTATTTAATGCGACAAGATTTTTATTGCTGGTAGTATTTTTTATTCAAAAATGTATTTCTGGTAATATTTATTTTCTTTAAAAAAGTATGTCTAGTAATATTTTTTTCAAAATGTATTGCTGGTAATAATTATTTTTTCAAAATGTATTGCTGGTAAAAATTTTTTTAAAAAAATATATTGCTGCTAATATTTTTCTTCTTCAAAAATGTATTGCTGGTAAAAATATTTCCAAAACAATATTACTGGTTTTGACACCTATTTTTATACTTTCATAGTCTTTTGACCCCAGTTTGGGGTTTGGGGTTTAACTATTTGCCCATAGTTAGGACCCTAACAGGTGCTACCACCCCGAGTCAGAGTGGACCTGGGAACACCAACAATTAAGAGGTGGTTCTACCCTCTTCAAAACCTTCTGATCAGACGCCTTGCTGTTGGATATAGTTTATCGTCATACCCAGAACGGGAAATGCTTTAAAATGTTTTATTTATGATCTTTCATTTTTAAAATTATTTCCAAATAGCCACTTGATTGCCATCATAGTCTTCAGCTTTATTTTGCCTCACTCTGTTATCAATGGCACTGTGATTTCTTTCTAAGCCATGTTTTAACGAAAGGAGGTGGCATTTCATGAATCTAAAGGGAGATCAATAAGATTGATTGTCATCAAGTTTGCTGCATTTTCAGCTGTAAGGCGGCTTCTTTGATCTAAATATATAATATTCATTCCTGAAAAACCTCTTTCTGCCTCGGAAGAACTGATAGCAAATCGTATTAATAATAGTTTACGATTTTTGTACACTTTAAAGAATTACAGAATGATGAAAGTTTTTCAGGACATTATCCACATAGTCAGGAAAATCATGTATGGCAATGTTGTGATGAAAAATATTATTGAAGCCATTTAGCGTTTCTTCTCAGCTTTCCAGGGAATAACTATTTCTTGAATATTCCAAGTATCTGGTTCGAGCAAGTTTAGCAGTTCATGAAATTTGTATTAATTGTTATTTGGTCACCTGAATTTACAGCCCCAACCGATTATGTGACTAAAATTTGTAGACAGTCTAAAATTAGCAGTTTGTTCGGGTTGCAGTTAGCAACGGGTTCGCTAAGCTCATAAATTTCCAAGAACACGTTCGTGTGAACCTGCTGAATCTCACCATTGGGTACAATATTCTCCTAAATTGGTTGGGGTATTATATATCGTTTAAGCTGTATCTCAGGAACACTTATACATACATATAAGATGGGGCACCTCGACGTGGTGTAATGGTTAAAAAGCTTGTCTTGCTAGATCAATTACGACTGAGTAGTGAGTTCGATCCTCACTGGGTGCCCCATACTTTCGGCCTTGTGCCACATCTAAGCTGTTCTTAGAAAATTAATACATACATATAAGATTAGACTTCTAGTATTATATAGATCGATTTACTAAGATTGGCTTTTGCAATTACTTTTTCCTTATCGGTTACATGGGTGCTCTAACACTTTCGCTCAGGCCCCTCAACCTCCGGCGTCTTACTCTCTGGGTTGAGGTGTCTACTCGGTCCAAATCGAACTTAAGGTAGTGGCCATAGGTCCCCTGAGCATCCATAGATTATTCGACCGGTCCGCTGATTTAATCCTATTCCTGCCCACTTTGTGTTTGGTTTGATCCAGAAAGCAGAAGTGATGTTCGTCCATTCACGGTCGACTGAAGATGTAGACACGGCTGGAGAATCTGTGCTAGGAAATTTAGAATGCAGCAAAAAAAGAAGAATAATATCTGCAGAAAGCCGGACAAACCACTATTCAATGATTGAATTGTTAATGTCTTTTATATAGCAGAAAAGAATAGTAAGAAGAGTTAGAGAAGAGAAACGAGTTACAGAAAAGAAAAGTAATTGACGTAAAAACGCATACACTGGATTCTAGACAGAGAGAGAGAGAGAGAGAGAGAGAGAGAGAGAGTGTGTGTGTGTGTGTGTTTGTGATTATCTTGTTGTTAAATCGTCTCAGAACGGTATATGACTCTTGCAATGGAGGGATAAAGATTTCTGTGCGGGGCTTCCTCCTCCCAATGCTTGCCCGGGCCAATTCTCTCTTCTTTCTTCAAGAATTTTCTCCCGTCTGCCTTTTTAAGCATAACTACGCGTTTATATAGATAAACCCGGCTGATTATAACTGACCCTTGGCCCTACTACTTCGCACGTGATAATCATGGGGGTTCTGGCTGCTTCAACCAAAATCATGTGAATTCCAAAGTTCCTTCTAGCTTACTCAGCTCTTTTTCAATTTTTAATCGATAAAAATTATTTCGACCATTTCCATTGTCTTCTGATGACCCAGATTCAATGGGTACAACTTCTGTCCTAGATCAGATTCCCCATCAGTAAACAAAATGCTCTGATTTAATTTCACTATTCAAATCTACTCCAATTTCACTAAAAAAATATAAGTGTGTGTGTGTGTTTTCCAGACTCTCCCTCTCTCTCTCTCTGTCACAATGATAACGTTGCTGTTTGATCGTAATAATCAAATCTTCGTTCTTCCCTGTTCGCAGATACCCAAGATAGACAACCAACTAAACTTTTATATACCCATCAGTACATCAGCCAGTTTTTAAAATTTTCAGAACGAATTACACAGCACATATTTCAATTAAACGCATTACTTAGAACGATTACTTCGTTACTTATTTATTTAAAACAGTAAATTGATTACTGCGTTATGTAACGGGAGTTTTTCGAACCTTATAAAAATAGGTTGAAAGCATCAAATCGAATGTCAACAGCTTGAAATGATGCAAATCTATTGATGCATTTAAATGCAAATGATGAAGTTTTAGAGAAAATGGAAACAAAATGGAAACTTATACTTAATATCAAGAAGTAACCTAGTTGAAATTTCTAAGGCACATAAAGTGGAAAGAGGGCTTGGAAAATTTGATACTCACAGGACAGATTGAAGACATTAGGCACAGAAGAAAACAATACCCAACATACTTAGTGAGCTTGAGTAAATGGATGTCAGAAAAAAGTTTAGGAGAGATAACAAAATGATAAAATTTATTAAAAGCTACAAAGGACAGGGAATTGCCATGATCGCCAACGTCCTGAAGGGACACGGCACATAGAAGAAGTTTATTGTCTATCTCTCATTCTCCAGAAAACCACGATTTCCTGCAACATTAGAATCGAAATTCTTTTCTTGTAATGCCATGGCTTTTGCGGCCTTCGAAGTTGCATTGGGATAGCGGAAGGTGCCTTCAAAAAGCTAAGCAAAGTATTAAGAAACATGAGATTTTCTTTGGGAAAACAAAGAAAAGAGTATTGGACTGTTACATGACAGTTCTCTTATATGGCAGTGAATGCTAGGTAATCGCATCAAAGATGAAGAAAATCGATTGATTGATTTGTTTTCTACGCCTTATCGATCCTTGGCAGGTTATTTAAAGGCAGAAAATATTATTTCTAGGTTTTAAGAATTTTCTTCTTCTTTTTTTTTTTTTTTTAAAAGTAATAGTTTAGTAATACAATTCACGTTAAGCAACGTCGAGCCAAATCAGTTCCTAGCTTGGGAATACCAGGTGCTGTAAGCTTGCATGTGAGGGTGATGTGACGGAGAATTGTTAATCGGAGAGCCGAGTTTCAATTCCCGTTGAGTACTTAATATTCGCTGACACACAAATACCAATGGGAAAGGTAAACTCCTTTTCTCCCTTCTAAGGGTTAATTAGTAAAACCTGTATCACTAAATCATAGAGGGACAGAGGAAAACAAAGTATAACTTACTTAGTGAGTTTGAGTAAATGGATGGCGGAACAGGGTTTTGGATGATTAACTGAAAGACAAAATTTATTAAGAGCTACAAAGAACAAGGAATTGCCATGATCGCCACCGCCCTGAAGAGACAAGGCACACAGAAGACATCTACCTCTAATTCTCCAGACTACCACGATCTCCTGCAACGATTCTATCGAAATTCTTTCCTTAAAATACGGCCCTCTTGCATTTTTTTCTCAGTGAATCTTCATCTGAAGATGATGAAGATGACATTGCATAATTCAGTTGAGAACAATTCGCAGCCATTTTTTTTTGACAACATCATAAACAAACAAGGTGATATATTTTTCATTAAACTTATCTTCAATCGATAAAAAAATTATCACAATGTAAAAACAGTGTTAGCCGGCAATAATATAATTGACAGACGCCTATAAAAAGACACTGTTGATTATTTATGACCTGGCTATAGTTTGCGTTATGTGGCAATAATTGTAAGTAACATGATGCGCTAAAATACGTAACCAAGTAATCTTTTTAAGTTTTAAGCTATCTGATTATCGATGCCTTTTATATTCAGTATACTGTTTACCAACCAAGGCTAGGGAGCTCAGTCTGGACTGCAATTTAATCCATAGCTTGAGGGAAACCAAATATTTCCGAAGCATATAGCGAAAAGCACTGATGATATTCGAAATGTGTATGCCGTTGTTTCCGTCTAACTGTTGCACCATCTGCGCATCCTGCCTGGAAAATCAAGTTTTGCAATACTGGGCTTCAACGATTAATAGCAACTTCGTCAGTGATAATGCAGACCTATATTACAATTTTGAATGAAGCGGGGAATGGAGACGTATTAGGGTATGTCTTGGGACAAGATATCCCTAGGGAGTACATCACTCTTGAGGTTGATTTTGAAGTTAGAGTTTTTTCCTCTTTAGACAGACAGGCAAATTAATGAGTTTGGTCTGCCTTATGCAAGGTGGAAGAAATTGCTTTTTTTTTACGACTTATCAACCCTTTGCGAGCTATTTAAAGACGGGGGATGGAAAAAAAATGATGTTTTCCTCAAAATTTATTATTGTGCAGTGAATGCAAAGATCATAATATGAAATTTGAATATAAGGACATTTTTATTTATTTTATTTCTTATTTCCTGTTTAAGATTGGGTTTCCGGCTCCTTCTAAAGTCTCCTTCAAATCGAGGCTAGATTGGATCGCCTACCGTCTTGTTCACACTCTTTCCTGTCTTTTGATCAGGAATAGAGTTTTATTTTTATTTTTTAGGATTCGGTTTCCGGTTCCTTCAAAGTATTTTCATTATCTTTCACTCCCAGTAGTCCATTGCGTCTTAGTGGCATTATCCCCTTCCTTGGGATGAATTGAATAAAAACAAATAGAATTAAGTTCTACACTTCTAACATCTCCGGCTAAAATCTAAATTTATTATTATTATTATTATTATTATTTTATTTATTTATTATTTACTTTTCTTCCTCAGTAGGTGTAAATAGTTTCGTCTATGGTCCGTGTTGTGGGGCCTTCCCCTTTTTACATAAGATGGACTCGTCCAAAGTATACTTATACTGACAGAGAGAATACCTGCTGCTGAGATACGTTGAGATACGTGGAGATACGTGGAGATACGTTGAGAGATGTTGAGACAGAATTTGAGGGTGTTTTCAGAGTTCCAAGAGTTCAGAGAGAGAGAGAGAGAGAGAGAGAGAGAGAGAGAGAGATAGAGAGAAAGAGAGAGAGAGAGAGAGATTATTACGGCATTACTTACAGAGACTTGTACATATGCTTCCTACTAACCCGCATTCCTGGACTACTAATCTTCACTTCAAGTCTGTATTCTTACGTTTAATACACTTATTTTTCTATCCCAATTACTGGCGTTGTTTATTTATTTGTGCAGGATTCCATTCACGGAATCCACAACAGTCCGGTTAGCACTTTTGCGTATATTCGAGTGAATGGGTCAGTATATATACATGTGCAGTCTTATATGTGTATGTATTAGTCACTGTTCGGGTGTGAAAATATATATGTGCGGCTGTGTACGTGTGCATAAATGTGTGGATACATCGGGTTATATGTGCATGTGATGTATGTGTAATTATGCGTGTATGAGCGTACGTGTGTGGAAGGTATGCATTTGTGAGAGAGTACGTATGGAAATATCTGTCTGTATGAATGCGTATATGTGTGAATGTATTTTTGAATGTGTAAGCGTGAGAGAGTGTGTCAGACAGTCCATGTGTGTGAATGCTTCCAAGCGTGAACGTGCGTGTGCTTGATAGTGTGATAGGGTGTTCATTCAGATGTATCTGCTTGCAAAGGCTACACTCGCGTTAAATCAGACCAAAGATGCTGCAGGTGTGGGTTGCCGACTGATCAGGTTGGCGCGACATTGTCCACCAAATATCTGCAAAATTTCGATCAAGTCCGGCATGAGAAAATCAATATTCTAAGAGAACAACGCCAACATGAAAATTTAGCGTACATCACAACCACTTGCTTTGAATGTCCCTTATGCTTTGCACTCAACACGTCCAGATTTCAGTCTGGCGAATTGGAAAAATAAATGCTTTTTCAGACCGGAACGACAACCATGATGATGAGATTGACGATATATATACTTTAAAAATCAGGTGGAATAGCTGAATAGGTTTTTTTTTACGGTCTCTTCATAGGCAATTTTTTTATCAAATGTTCAATAACGCTTTTCTTTATTTTTTTTAAAAACCAATGATCGCTGCATTATTATTTTCAAAACTAAATAAACAAACGCACGACGTTGGCTGTATGTTATGGTGAAACACACCTATTCTATAGTTAATAGATTCTCCCACCTCTAAGTAGGAGTAGTAAGAGAAACGAGGGTCAGTCGATGTGGGACTACCGGCTGAACGGTTGAACTCTCTGCCTTCGAGCGGGGAGGAACCCGAACGAGGCTATGCCAAATGGGATAGTCACTTTCGTGGAGGTAAACCGACTCTGAGCCCGTTTTTACGGGTTCAAAGGGTATATTTTTGGCCGAGCCCACGGGCTCCGAGATCTCACGTGAAACCGGCCTTGTGCCACATGATACCCTCGTGGGGGGATGACTAAATACTAATCGATGTCGGACGACCGGCTGAACGGTTGAATTCTCTGCCTTCGGGCGGGGAGGAACCCGAACGAGGCTACGCCGAAGGGCGGATTCTCGTTCGGAGAGGTAAACCGACCCTGAACCCGTTTATACGGGTTCAAAGGGTAATTACAGCCGAGCCCACTGGCTCGGAGATCAAAACCGGGCTTAAAATCCCACGGCAGATGGAGATCCTGCTAGTCATGTCGGAGATCCCACGGGCTAGATCCGGGTTAAACCGGCCAGTGAACATGATACCTTTCGGTGAAAATACTAGTCGATGTTTGACGAAAGTAGTCAGCGACCAGCAACAAAATTATCTTGCGTAATACCTATTATATCAAGTTCCTAACGTTTTGTACGTCGAACCTATTTTAGGACCGATTTAGTTCAAATACAAGCCTCCACTGCGAAATAAGTCCACAACCGCGTAATAGAAAGGGAGGAAGAGGAGGATGTGAAGAAGGAAGAAGATATATATAAAAAAAGCGTTAGGTGGTCATTTCATAAAAATCGCCTGAGGATATCGTAAGGTTGAAATCAAGGCCGCGTATTCAACTGATCTCCTGATTTTTTAAGTTAAAAGCTCTTCATTCTTTCATAGAAAATATTCGTCCTTCGACACACACAAAAAAAGATAAAATAAAATAAAAATAAAGAAAGCTACATTATTGTTTTCAAAAATAAAGAAGGAAACGCACGACGTTGGGTGTAACAGAAAGGGAGGAGGAGGATGATGATGAAAGAAGAAGAAGGAGAAGAAGGATGAGGAGGAGAAGAGGAGGAGGGTGTGATGAAAGAAGAAGAAGGAGAAGGAGGAGGAGGAGAGGAGGGTGAGGTTGTGATGAAAGAAGGAGAAGGAGGAGGAGAGGAGGAGGAGGAGGGTGTGATGAAACAAGAAGAGGGAGAAGGATTGGAGAGGAGGAGGAGGAAATGATGAAAGAAGAAGAAGGAGATAAGGAGGAGGCAAAGGGTGTGATGAAAGAATGAGAAGGAGGAGGAGGAGAGGAGGAGGAGGAGGGTGTGATGAAAGAAGAAGGAGAAGAAGGAGGAGGAGGAGAGAAGGGGGAGGGTGTGATGAAAGAAGAAGAAGGAGAAGAAGGAGGAGGAGGAGGAGAGGAGGAGGAGGGTGTGATGAAAGAAGAAGAAGGAGAAGGAGGAGTAGTAGGAGGAGAGGATGAGAGGAGTAGTTAGAGGAGGAGAGGAAAAAGAAGTGCTAAAAGAAGAGGAAGAAGTAGAAGGAGGAAGAAGAAGAAGAAGAAGAAAGGGATGAAAAGGATGTGTATTTTAAATGTAGGGGGTTAATTTTTTTAACCAACCTCGTATGTGTCTTTTTCTAATATGTTCGCCAAGGACTTAAAACTTTGGAAACGAAAAAAAGGTTCTTTGGATCCGGAAATGTCAAATACTTAATTTTTTTCTGGCAGAAATAGCAAATATTCTTGTATTTGCACATTCGACTTTTTTTAAAATGTTCCACCTTACAAACGGATCCCCTGTTCTTGCAATTTTTTAAATTCTACCTTCCGGTTAGCTAGTTTGGTAGAGTAACTAAGATTTGCTAGCTTAAATGACATTTTACATGTACTTTTTTTTTTTTTATTTTATTTTGCACACGTGTATTGATCATTTTTTATCCACTACGTTTGTTTGATGGTCTGATTCAACCCTGACCATTAACGTTTTATTTTAACGCTTCAATTCTGACCTTAAACAAACAAACAAACAAAAAAACATAAACACACACACACACACACATTTACACACACATTAATGTTAAAAGTTTGCTATCTAAAATGTCACTTTATATTTCAAATATGTGGTGCAGTTCAATTTATATTAAAATGAATGATTCATAACAAAACTCCTGTTAGTAAAGTTAATAATAGAAAATGGCAAAATTCCTTCGCTGACAAAATTTTAAAGATGCATTAATCTATCGATCAATGATGAATGTTATGATCCTTCAGTATTTACATTAGTCGGAAGATTGTCCTCATATTTGAATCAAATACTAGAATCTTCGTTTCATTATTTTTTTAAATCCGGCCTTCTTCCAGTTTTGGAATTTCGAACTGAACCCTTTATTTCGATCATTGGGGTAGACTGTTCTAGTTCCACGTGCCATGTTTGATGGATAAAGTTATAGAAAGTTATCTCCTGATAATTTTCCTCTGAAAGTTCTCCATTTGCCTTAACTGGGTATTGAAACCTTCTTTGGGTCTGAACTGGATCTAACATGACACCTTTATCTACTGTGCCATGATTCCTTGTAAAAGGGTTCAGTTCGTTTTTCCAACCACCTGAAGAATGATAATCCTTTACAACGAAAAAAAACGTGATTGTGACAAAATATGACAAAAAGATGAGGATCATTTAGTCCTTTTAATTATGGAAAAGTGTATATTAACATTTATCTCAGAAATATAGACAGGTTATGATCCTTGTTTTTTAAATTTATAATCTGTATGAGGTCTTTTCTTATACAGCTTATAAGATGACTTGCCTGAAGATGGCTGAATGTACAGTCGAAAGTACTTGCGTATTTAAGAAAGACATAATGCAGCTTATAAAAAAAATAAAAGAAATCACCTCAAAGAGAAGAGGCACCATCGTAAAACGTTAAGATTGATTAAAACCACCTACTTCCGGTGTTTCTACTGCTCAAGACTCTGATCCACAGATAAACTGCCAGATAAAGTCTTCAGACATGAAAGACAGTTATAATGTTGTGTACTAAGTTTGTATTCTTATGCAAAACAAAACAATTCAGAATTTTCCCTAACTTAGCGTTATGGTAATTTTTAACGCATGAATGGGCTCCCCTAGCTATAAATAGGAGCAAATTTGCCATATTTTGGTGTTGAAAGTTTCAGTATTTCAGCAATCTGACAGTCGAATTAACATCTGCATAATTATTTCGTTTGTATATGTTTGTATTACTGATCCTGTTAATAAATTTGTTTAACTCAATTCCTCTCTTCGTGTCTTTATTTCTGGCCGTAACAAGACCACAACAGTTAGTATGACACAAGGTCAAGTACATATTTGAAAATTAGCGAGATTAGATTAATCAATGCGCTACAGTAAGTAAACCTAATTTACCTGCAGTGTTTCGTCATGTTGTGTGTATGTGTGTGTGAGCGGCATAATAAATTCATTTTAAGGAACAATGAAGCATTGAATTATTCACTTGTCAGAATAAAATGTCACGAAGGAATGTGAAATAAATTCTTAAGAAGGAATTTAAGTTTAGCGGGAATTGAAAAATAAATCAATGGAAACAAAGCAAAAAGGAAAAAAAAAACTGATGCTGAAGAATTATAAATTTTGCCAGAGGAATTAGATTCAATAAAAGATTTTACCCGGATGCCAACTAACATCATTGATAAATGATGAAATTTTTAGAAAAAACAAAAAAAAAATTGGTATAAGATGATTTGAAATTTAGAGATATAAGTGTAACTGAGTCATGTCAGAATTTGGTTGGCCATGAAAGGGATGCTTTTTGTGAATATGGAAAGAGGGAAACAACCAACTTTGTTAAAGTACAAAAGCAAAAAGGATGGTAATGTATTTGACCAATCACTAGCCAAGATGATTTTTCATTTATCTTATAAACTGAGTCCATTCAGGATTATTTAGGCAGGGAAAAATTGGCTCTCAGAAAACGTTTCTCATAGCAATCTAAACAAGATTGTTCGGTAGGTTGATACTGACACTCCACGACTTCCTATCCTTAAAAGCTTTTATTATTTTGTCTTTTGCTGAGAATATCCCTGTTCTGGAATCCATGGGAACAAATCGATAAGGATGTTGAAATCGAATTCTCCACTACTTCCTACCTTTTGTAACTCTTAGTAAGGTTTGTCTTTTACTATTTTTCCTACTACGTGTGCTGCCATCCATTTATACAAGATTGTTAGGTAGGTTGATCATGGCTCTCCACTACTTCCTATGCTTTATAGCTCTTAGTAAGGTTTGGCTTTTACTGTCCTTCTTACTCCCTATTCTGCCATTCATTTATACAAGATTGTTAGGTTGATCATGATTCTTTTGTTATTAAATTATGATTCACGTGTGTTGATTCTGTTTCCAGAGAACTTTTGTAATTCCAAAATATTTTTCTGGATTTCATTTAGATCTTATTACGGCCATATCACGTTGGAACATAGGTTTCCGTAAGATCACCAAAGTGAAACAACGTCAAACCGAGCCAGTATCTGAATGGATAACCGCGATGTCGCAGATACTGTAAACTTGGATGGTGCAATGTATAATGGCTCAGATTTTTAAACTGAAAAGGCCAAGTTGAATTCCTGAACGTGGTTGGTTATATTTAATTAAAAACATTTACCCTTGGAAAATCTAGGCAACAAATGTCCCCTAGCTAAAAGGTTAATTGGTGACGACTTGTATCACTAAATCGTTATTTTCTCAATAGAAAAAAAAAACTTACATTCTAAAAATAATTTCTGGCTTTAAATAACTTGCAAAGTGTTGATAAACCGTAATATTGATTGAAATATTGATGTCAGAAAGAAATAAAGAAAGAAGGAAAGAAAAAAAAAAATGTTAAAAAAAAAACAAAAAGGAAAGAATGAATAGGGGATGCTTCGATTAAAAATATATAGAGTTACTAAGCATATTGTATAATAGAAGAAAGAAAGAAAGATCAACAAAAGAAAGAAAAAAAAACTTTTTAAAAGAAGGTAGGTGAAGTTAAAATAAATATATACCGATTGACTGGTCGCCTGCTTTCTCTCGTGTTCAAGAATTTAATTTCTTCTTTGCTGATGGCTTCCTTTAAGATGATGGCGTTGATGACTATATTCACTGCCAATGTACAGGTTCAGGACTAGAAGCTTTCAGAATCTGCCCCCGTCATTCATTCCCAACGCCGTTTGACTTTTGCAACCCTGTTTTGGAGGTAAAAAATAACCAATAAAAGAAATTTTGCCAATGGCGTGAATTTGTTTAAGGTGAACCTCAAATGCCAGGAAGTGACCCGCACACTTCATTTCATGACCTTCCTCTGCGGCACATATGGAATGAAATATGCAGAATGCAGTTATGAAAATGCAACGAACTGCCGCTAACTCTGTTATAATTTCACATGGCGCCTTTTGTAGTATGTCCGTCATGCGTAACTCTCTTCATCTGCTGGTTAATCCGTTTAGATCTGTTTTTAATCACAATCCGCTTGTATCACTGTTGAGGTCTTTAGCATTTCGCACCTTTTTTTTGGTCATCGTTTACGAGCTATAAACAGAATATAATATATATATATATATATATATATATATATATATATATATATATATATATATATATATATATATATATAGTGTTTCAATGTAAAACAGTATAAGTATATATAATAAAAATTTTTAAAAACTATTAAATTAAATTATAATAAATTCACCTCACAAATGTAATTACGATCCAATTCATCAGACGTTTTAATTTATAGGTCTGATGAAATGGATATATATATATATCATATATATAGAAAAATAAAAGATGGAAATATTAAGTTTTTAAAGGCTTTTTATTAAATAAAAGCTAGAGTCAATGTCAAACCTGCCAAGTTTTTTTCAAATTTTATAATTTATAATATCTCGAAAATAATATATATATTTATAATATATATATATATATATATATATATATGTGTGTGTATGTGTGTTTATATGCATGTTTCATTAAAAACGACAGACAAGGTACTACGGTTAAGCTTTTTTATTTAATTTTTCTTGTGTTCTAACAAGAGCTTTCTTTTCTGGACAAAGAATGTGTAAAAACTGTCCAAATGTTTTATATTTCCGAGCGCTTTTGGCTATACTTTTAGCCATTATCAAGGATGATTCGATTTTTCAGCTTAATTGAGTGTGTGCATTATGTGTATGTCTTAGTGTGTAGTAAGGATGTTTTAATTTTCGAATATGGTTAGCACATTGTGGCCTTGTTCGTAGTTAATATTGTTAAGAGTTGTTTTTTTTTCTTTTTTATTATTAAAGCTTCCATTATTTTTAGTCTATTTTTACAGGTGGATGCAGTTATTATATTTGTGTCTTCTACTAGTATGTTTCTAATGGAGTTGGGTAAGTTTGTGTGTGTGTGTTTAAATGGGTTCTAATGGAGCTGTGATCAGATAGGTGTAACATAAGCCGTCTGGATAAGCATGTCGTTGTGTAACCAATGTAATTATTTATG